ACCGACAGAAACATCGGCTAAATCGACAAAAGATAAGAGGGAGGATACGATTTACAACGAAATCGAAACTCGATGGCGGCGCCATATTTTAAGGGAAGAGAATCGAGGGTTGGCAACGAAACCGCGAAAGAGGAAGAGCAACAAACCATGTGGATGGAACGAACGATCGACAAAGGAGAGTACATATATATATACAGAACGAAACTAAAAGCATCGAATAGCAGGAAAATCACGATATTTCATTTATTCTCCTACTACCTATTTCTCTACCTTCTATTCTTTCTCCTTACTCTTTTCGCAAACATTCGATTCACGTGGAGAAAATCGATTTCCTTCCGCTCGTGGAATCAAGTAAGTAAGTAAATAAGTACGTTCTTCTCTCCATAAAGAGTCGTGAAAAATAACAATCGCTAATTTTTTTGTAGTTGCAACGATATATAAATGAGAACCGCTTCGTAATTAATATTCTTTCGCCAACTAGATAACCAAGAAGGGTTTACGTGTAATACACGAGACAAACATGTAGAACGCGAGCTTTTTAATATTTTTCTCCGACAGAACGCGTCAAGATTGATATTACTCGTTTTTTCGAGCGTGGTGAAAGGAGTGGCCGACTTCTTTTTGATTTTGGTGGAATATCTCGTCTGGTGGATAATCGAGGACAAGAAACGTACGATCTTTAGACCCTCGTTACCGTAGTCGGCTTGGTTGTTTTGTGTCGTTGGAGGAAATTATTAAACGAGACTTGTTCGAATTAATATCGGTCGATTTTCACAAAGTATTCCGTGAAACTGGGTTAAACTGTAATCTTAAACTCGTGGAAGATAGACGAAAATTTCATTAAAATTAAAGTTTCGAATCCGTTTTATAGCGTACGCGATGATGAGAGAAGGAAAAAAGATGATTCGAAAGTTTCAAATTGTCTCTTTGACTTGGAAAAAGGGATTCATAAATTTATAGAATGATATTCGTTAAATTTTTTAAGATTTCCAAATGCAAATATTGTTAATTTTCTATAGAAACATGCATGGATACAACGTACGAAACCGTTTAACCCCTTAAATTATTATTAATTGACTAATTAATTCTTATGATTCATCATAGTTATTGTTATGTTACAATATATCATAATTAATATTACTGCGATTTATATAACGTAATTACACATTGTTTTCCATCACTATTATTATGATATATTATCATTACATTATACGTTATTATAATCTCATTTTTTATACTGGAATAGACAAGAATTTCCACGATACTATTTCCATGTACGTACACGATGTTGCCATCAACTTTGTCAAACGAAATTTTTTTCTTCTATACGCGATCCGTCGCTTCAGAATTAATCCTCGAACCCGATTGCGTGAAACATCCACTATTTCCTGTTACGAAACCGTAGTAGATCGTGTTAGGCAAATTTACTCAACGAGTTCTTTAACGAAACGAGAAAATTGAAAAGAGAGGCAACGTTTCCTCTCTCTCTCTTTTTTTTTAATTAACCATAACCCAAGCTTAAAAAGATCCTTGTATCTTCCATTGGATTAACCACGGATTAAGTATCACGTTGGAGGGATATTTAGCCTGCAATTTATCCACTTTTGTATCGCGTTATATTTAAAATCGATGCAGTAATACGTATTTGAAACGATTTAATATACATCAAGCAAATCTATTTCAATTTTAAATCTCTCTCTCTTTCTCTCTTTCTCTCTCTCTCTCTTTCTCTCTCTTTCTCTTTCTCCCCTTCCCGCGGAACGTTTTGCTCCGTGAGTTTTAATATTTCCGGATATTCTCGAGCCCCTTCTGCTTCCTTTCAAAATTCCCACCCACAGAGAGAAAAATCCGCGGGATGTTTCCCCTCTCTTCCTTTCTTTTTTTCCTGAAGGATCCCTTCCTAATTTCACGCAACCCTCGCCGTGACCGTACGCGAAATTAGGTAATTACAAACGGTGGCGGTAAAAATCATATGGTAACGAAATTCAAATCGGAATACGGTAATTCAGATCTCGAGAGAAATCGAGGGAAATATGAAAATCGTCCGGATTTAAAAAAGGGAGAGAAAAAGAGAGAGAGAGAAGGAGAGAGAGAAGGGGTGAGAAAATGGAGAGGAGATGGAAGGCGAACCGGCTCGAAAATCTCATCTCTGAATTACATCGTCTCCGGTTGGCACGTTCCTCATCGGTCAGGAAACTTCGCGCTGGAATTGTAATTCGTTCCGGCCGAAGATGCGCCGAGTTCATCCTGTCTCCGGAGAGGGATGAACAGGATGAACAGGGGGGAAAAAATCGCGAAATTTCGTTAAACACATTACGAGCGTGAAACTCGGTTAAAAAACTCGACGGGGATGACGGGGAGTGGGAAAATTCGTGATACGAATTTGCAACTTTTTACAGACGCCTCGTTTGTTTTTTTCGAGCTTTCGAGAGTAGGATGTTAATTTTTCTCGTTTCTTTTTCTCTTTTTAATAAAAATATATCAATTCGGTTAATAACTAAATTTTATTATTTATTAACGCGATTTTGGATCAAAGACTTTTTTGATTATTACTCTATTATTACTTGGCCTATTTTTTTTTATAATATATTTGAGAATAAAACTCTCGAGAGTTAATTAGAGAAAAAGCAGTCTGAAGAATAATTCTTCGAAAAATTTGATTACAGCGAAATAAAAATTTGTGAATAAAAATTATCTAACTTATCTAACCTTTCGTTTCATATTTTAAATTCTTTCCACTCATTGCTATATATATATATTTCTCTTATAAAATAAAATATAAACTTTAAAATCGGACGTATAATTTACGTGTAAAATGTTATTAATCTGAGAAAACTTATTGGCCAGTCGAGAACCGTTTTCCAATGTTTAACGTCATTTAGGAAAAGCATCGAATGACAAACTGAACGGTTTAATGCGGATTCACGGTGATCATTTAGCAAATCGATACCCTGATTAAACGCACGACGCGTCTTCCGGTTAATTAACCGCTATCACGCGGTTCCAGAATTACGTGGAAATAGTCCTATTTCAAGTTTGAAATATTGAAAGGGCGAAAAGGTGTTTTATGGACTTTTTTGAAAACCGATTTTATTCCAAATCACGAGTGACGCAAGTGTAGAATATATGTCACGTCCGAAACGCTAATAAATTTCCCTAGATAAGATCGTAAATCACCTTTCGAATTACTAAATCTACCTTATCCTCTGCTCGAATTCATCCGTTATAAGCAATAGTGAAGTGTACACGACACCAGGATCAATCGAAGAATCTAAATTTAAGTTTTACATCCAATGAATAATGGTAAAGACATTTTCTGAAATTGGAATAGAAATCTGAGAATGAAAAATTCTGATTTTACCTCAATAATTTAACAAAAGAGCGTTGAACATTTTCTAAGATTGGAATGGAAATTTGAAAAATCAATTTTAGATTCATTTAAAATCCAAACTTGTCTTTGATATATAATATTAATTACAAAGATATGAGAATCATCATGTAGATAGAGGAAGAATATAGTCATCAGCATACTTTCTTAATAAATTATATATACAAAATATATTTCAGATATATTTTGATATTCTATCTACTGCCTAAATATATCACTAAACAAATTACCGTCCATATACATGAGCGATCAAATCTCAAAGAGAGACACGGCATGCGATAAAAAAAAAAAAATTTATTGCAACTATTTGCAGCTATAAAGTATGCAAACAACAAAACGATGAAAACGAAAACACTGACAAGAATCTAAGAGAGAAAAGGCAAAAAACAAAAAAAAAAATTCGCTCTACATTCGAGGACACGGAGTCGCGGTTCCATTTATCGAGTGATTGGTCAGCTGAATGATTGGATGGCTACCTTTTGGCGCAATTTTGCCAAATCCAATTTCCGCCCTGTATTTTCTTTATCGCGTTTCAACTTCAATCGGTTAAGTCTCGTATCTGGCCTATGCACACTTATAAATCGATACAATTTCTAATTGCTTCTCGAAATGTTCTCAATCGAAATAATTACCCGAAAAGATAATTTAATAATCTAATAAACGTGGATGTTTCATTATTTTTCTTTATTTTTCCTTTTCTTTTTTTCTTTTTTTCTTTCTCTCTATAATTTAATGACGAAAAGTATATAGTAATGTGCAAAAATCTTAGTTTTCTAGATGAAATAGAAATATTGTAAAGTAAAAACACAAAAAATATAATTTATATAATTTGAAATAATTTATTCAGATTTGTTTGAGAATCATAATGATCTATTTTTTGATAATTTCATATTTCCCGCTATCGTTTCTGTAATATTTCTTAAAGTTAATTTTTATTTTGATCTTTGTATATAATTTCGTGTATTTAATAATAATTTGTGAATCAGAAAAAGTTATAAAAAATTAATAAAAAAATATCTACACATTCACATTTTGTACAAGTGTGTGTAGTTATTATATTATTCAAGATTATTGCACAATATATATTTTTTATCGCGATGTATATTTTACCTCCGTCACATGTTACAAAGTACTTTTCATCGACTCTACAGAACCCTACTTCTTTCTTATTTTGTCTCATTTATGTTCTTGGAAAATAATGTTTAGACAAGTTTGGATAATGTATTTTTATAATAAATACGAATTTCCTCGAAATAATGTATAAGATTGTTAAATTTATTGAAACTTGCTTCGGGGCAAATGAGCATAAAATAGATTTGTTAATAATACCATAGAAGTCACTAACGATCACGAAATTGAAAAGTATTATAATTTAACATTCATAAAATTCTCGATATTTCTAATATTGTCTATTTCTAATTTGTTTAAGTAAGAAAAAATGCTAGTTTTATTTAGATAAGATAATTAATATATCGTAATTTTTAAATTTGAAATATCATACCGCAATTCTTTAATTTTTTTCTAAAATTCTATCTTCGAATTTCACTCTATATTGATGACACGTATCAGAATATAGAGTCATTCGAAATTATCGATAAAATTGGACACTTACCTTTTACGATGACTGGAGTAGAAAAGAAGAAGAAAATTAGGATCAGCTTCATCGATAATAATTTCATTCCGTACTCCTCCATATTTAAAATGGATCCGTTACAGGAACATAGATAAACACACCGAACACGACAAAACGTATGTAAACACAGAAGGGTCACTCACACATCCGACCGAACGTACTTTCTCGTTCTCAAAATAAGTCACTTCACAGTTCACGCTCACAATTTACCGTCATTTGTCGTAAAATCGACTCTAGAAAATGGAAATCTATCGTATGCTCGATTTTTCGTTATATTTATGAAGTACTTACTTCCATTGGACACATAATTTTTTGAAATGTTTCAGAAATTTCACTTGAGCAGCTGTTTACCATTAAATGACGTAATATCACGAATATAAAACGTATTTTGTTACGAGGAATCGTTATCTGCGAATATTTCACTTATATTCAATCGTTGATGTAACACTTTTCACGAAAGACTTTCACTTTTCCGAATTAAATTCGAAACGAACGAACGAACGAAATTTTTAATGCGTCATTACGTTCGAGTATCAATCCCGCGACTAAAAGTTCGATACAATCGTAAAACGTATCTGATTGGCTGACAAATAATCGAAAGTAAAAATCAAATCGAGAATAATTTCTCGAAAAGATCGAATTGTATCAATGTGTCAAGAGACAATGTTTCCGTAGCAACTATCGATTATACGCACTTTACCGATTTAAAATTTTAAAAATATTGCTTTCTCAATGCATTTTTTTCTTTCGATACATACAATATCAAGATGTTATCATATTCGTTAACAAGATGTTATACAAATAGCACGAATTCACGATCGACACGTTCGAGAAATCGATCAATCGAAGAATAGTTTAACATTACACCGCGAGTTCGCTCGTAACAGGTGAATTGTCAAAGGACGCGGAATCACTGTATTTGAATTCGTTCAATGTCGACAGCTTCGAAACTAAACGTTTCATTAAATATCCACACGGAAATCAATTTTGTTTCTCGGTCTTCGTTTCTGAACACGAACATCGATGACAGTAATCATCCTTTTATTTTTGCCGGTTTCCATGCACACTCGCGATTTTTTCTTCAGTCTCGTATTCACTGTCAATTTTCTAACATTATTTCGCTGCTCCGTTTTTCAGGTGTGTCACTCAATATTCCTCAAAATATTCAAAATTTCCTCTGAAAGAGACTGATACGAACACGTACTCATCACTGAATCACGCGACGAAGAAATAAAACTCGCATGTACCACCGCACACCTACGCGGGAGTGTGAACACTGTAGAATTGCTCGAAAGGGAAGGAGGCCTCTGCCCCCGCAGAGATCCACGGAGATTGCCGAACGGAACCGACTAGGCACGAGCGTACGAGCGATCAGCATCCACTGCACCTCCCAACCCCTACGGCCTATGAGTACAGTGCGCACGCAAAGCACTTGACACGATGAGGATGAGAACAACGCAGATGCGGAAAATCGACGGAAAACGTCGTCAAGATATCATGGATCCTACGGGCATAAAGTGAACCGATTTTTTGGATCTTGAATTTGTCTCGCTGCTGCAATCTTTTCGAATTTTCCGTGCATACGTTGAAAAGCATTGCTTTTTAACTGAAACATATGCACACAATGTAACTAAGTAATTCATACGAAAATAATTCACACGAAAATACCATTTATTAAGTATTTTAATGATAAAAATTTTTATTCATATTTATTTCAAACAAAATTATTATTTTTTAAACTTTTCATATATTTCAGGTATAAAAATTTGATAGAATACTAAATATTTCCGGTTTGTCTACTTGAGTCATCTAATACAAATCATAACCTAATATATAATATAAAATCTTAATAATTTAATATCTAGTATGCATAAATGTAGAATATGACAAACATATTTTTATATTTAAAACTATTTCAGAAAAATTATTCGTGATTCAATATATAATAATATTATTATTCGTTTTTTAATTAATAATTTAAGCGAGGAAGGTGAGAAAATAAATATTTAAATAAGAAAAATTAAAATTTGATTTTAGAAAAATTTATCTTTTTTACTAACAACATATCATTCGTTTTTAGTAACTATTTATAAAAAAGGGAACAAAAGTTTTCAAGTCTCTTCGTACATGATAATAATAATACGAATATGAAGTGCATTGTTTCCAGAAATGAAAGAAATAACAAGATGTTGCTTGAGATTATAGTAATATTACAATGCTATTGTAATTTCGTACGTAATTTATGATTCCAAAAACATTCAACGCTTTATCATTTGATATATTTTATTGCCAATTTGCATTTCAAATTCCAAATTATAAATATAAATTAAATATCATTATTTCAAATAAATTCATTTATTAATTTTTATTTAATTATTTTTATTTATAAATTTTAAATTATTTTTATTTATAAAAATATGAAATTAGTTCGTATTTTTTGAATTATTTTTTTTATTTATAAAGAACTAGGAAATAAAATTCATAAACATCATGATACAATAATTTATTTTAAGAAAAAGATAAGTTTCAAATATCAGCAGGTTTATATTATATCATATTGGTTCAAATAAATAAATCAATGAAAATTGGCAACAAAATAAAGTATTTTATATATTATCTTTATTTACAATTTTCATAGAAGAATTTTTTTATGGCCTAGATTAATAAGTTATCTATGAGAAATCTTCAATAATCGAAATTATTTATTTTCTCTCTTAAACAGAAGTTATTGAAAATATTCTTTTCTTAAACGTCCGCGAAAGGAATAAAAAATTGATAGAAATTTAATACAGATTTTTGAATTTTTGCGTATAAAAGAACAAATTTTCATTTCGAGAATAAAAAATAGTATGCCAATTCGCATATTCTCTATATTTTATAAAACAATTGTGCATTATAACTTGACCAACACAAAATCCACATGATAATTATGTCCTGCGACTGATATATCGTTATTTAGAAAAAAGAGTAATAGAATAATACAATGTGTAAATTATATATTAGATTTAAACATACAAAAGTTTTATAAGTTCTAAAGTATTCAAAAAATAAGATTTCTTGCACAAAAAAATTGTTTTTTTCAAATGAAAATGAAAAAAAGAAATGTTTATTTTTTGAAATTGGAATTTAAAATTTATTCACAAATAAAAGAGAATAAAAATTTTTAAAATATAAAAATTCTAAAAATACATTCGAGATTCGTACACATGAATAAAAGTATGTACGAATAATAATGTGAAATAAAAAGATTGTTTGTCATAAGTAAATTTTTATTTCAAATTGCTACAAAAAATGTCCTATGCGTTTAACTTCCGTTTCGACACAAATTTAACATCTTCATAGCGAAAAAAATTTTGAATTTATAAAAAAACTGTTTTTTTTTTTTTTTTAAATACATTACATACTTATATTTTAAAGGCCACCGGAAGTAACAGGTCACTTTTTGAAATTCATTCAATTCTTAAACTCGAAAACTATTGAATCAATATAGTAGTTCTCATTACAAACTTGACCACAACAAAGTAGACCAGAGATCTCTCATTTTCTAAACATACCGTATCTTAATGAACACCCAACGTATAAAGGGTGAGTCTTTTATCAGTCGTCACTCAGTTCTAAATTTTCTTACCATCGTGTAAGACTGCGTGTTTTAAACGGAAGCTATTGAAAATATTCCTTTCTTAAACGTCCGCGAAAGGAATAAAAAATTGATAGAAAATTCACCCTATACGTAAAATAGATAATTAACACAAAAACGAAAACAAATAAATACGCTAAAATTATATTAAAACATATTTGTCATTATAAATCGTAGTGTGCGGCATCCTATAATTTGCTTTGGCATTCTACGCATTTTTTCGTTTCTTTTATATTTTTCTCTCTTTGTTTCGCTTAAGACAAAAATAAACAATTCATTCTAAAATTTCCGACGTCCCTGCGGAAACAATGACTTTAATACATACACACGTCAAAAGGAAAGAGATTTTGTTTCCCTCTATTTCTTTTTTTCTTTTCTTTTTTTTTTTTTTTTTCTTTCTGCTTCTTTCTCTCTTTCAACAAGCTAACGTAACATTCGACGAAAATATTACAAAGAAAGGAGAAAAGAGAGAGAGAGAGAAAGAGAAAATGTTAATGAAATTTCCGCTATATTTACCATGAATGTCCCTGTAGTCTTCGAGGAACTTGTATTATGAACAATACACGTTTTAATATACACGAATTTATGTACATTTACCAACTCCACTTGTGTACGAATACATGTAGATGTAAATGTGTACATATACGCGCGAAGAGGAGAAAAAAAGAATAAATTGAAAAAGGGGAGAAAAAACGCATGGTAGCAAATCGCAAAGAAGAAAATTTGTTTCGTCGATATTCATTTTTTTCAGTCTTATAGGTACCTATACTAATCACGAAAATTGCTTCTATGACTTTCGTAATTTTTTTCTAGAATATTTTCTTTACAATTAATATACGAAAAATAAAAGCATAAAAACTACGATATACTTGAACTTGGCAATATCTTCATTCTGATTTTTCATCGATCAATTCATAATATCATAAATTTAAAATATAGTCTGATTGATATATCATAACAACAAATAACATCAATGATACGTGTAAACGCTAAAGATATAAACTTGATCATTCGAAAAGCATCCTGAAAACAAGAAATACGACGTAGAAACATTCTCCCTAAAAACTGTTATCGATCGAAATCACGATAGTTTCGTTTATTGAATCGAAGTGTATTAAAAAACTTAGAGGGACAAGGGAAAAATTGTACGATATCTTTCGACCGATTGAACGATATTTCCGAGAAATAGAAACGCTCGAAAAACTACTATATCGCGAAATATATTATTTTTAAATATTACTTATACGATTCACTGTCGTTATATCATCTTAAATTAATCAAATCATCATTATAACGATTTATACGTATTTCTTTCGGTGTGAATTCAAAAATCGTTGAATTGAGACATGTACACATAAAAATATGATTATATATATATATAAAAATATATATATATATTATAATCGAATCTTTCGCTTTGTATCGAAGCAATCGAACTTTCGTGATTTGCCTTA